ATATCACTATACACTACTCACCACTGCCAACTCCCTATCCACTACTCCCCACTCGCCACTCACTACCCACTACTCACTACCCAGTTCTCACTACTCACTACGCACTAACCCACTACTCACTACTCACCACTCCCTACTCCCAGCTCCGTACTCCCTGCGCGAGGGGGGGGTGTCCGAACCCCCCTCCCCCTTTCCAGCGCCAAGGGGGGGAGGGGGGGGGGGGTTCTGGACCTCCCCCCCCCCCTTCAAGGGAGGGGGGGGGAAGGGTTCGGGACCCCCCCCCCCCTTAAGGGGGGGAGGGGGGGGGAGGTTCCGAACCCCCGCCCCCCCTTGAAGGAAGGGAGGGGGGGGGGTTCTGGACCCCCCCCCCTTGCCCGTATTCAAGGAGATCCGCTGGCGCACTTTTCGTATTCAAGGAGATCCGCTGGCGCACTTTTCTAAAGTTAACCAAAACCAGCCAGGGAGGGGCGGGCAAGAGGCCGAGCGACCGAGGGCCAGCCGAGGGCCAGGCGCGACCACAGCAGCCGACGGACAACCGACGGACGATCGAAAAATAATCAACACCAGCCAGGAAGGTGCAGACGAGACACCGAGCGACCGAGGACCGGCCGAGGGCCAGGCGCGACCCACCGAAAAATAACCAAAACCAGCCAGGAAGGGTCAGACGACAGACCGAGCCACCGAGGGCCAGCTGAGGGCCGGGCGCGACCACAGAAACCGACGGACAACCGACGGACAACCGAAAAAAAACAGCCAGGAAGGGGCAGACGACAGACCGAGCGACCGAGGGCCAGCCGAGGGCCAGGCGCGACCACGGCAACTGACGGACAACCGACGGACAACCGAGTAATAACCAAAACCAGCCAGGAAGGGGCAGACGAGAGACCGAGCCACCGAGGGCCAGCCGAAAGCCAGGCGCGACCACAGCAACTGTCGGACAACCGACGGAAAACCTAAAAATAACCCAAACCAGCCAGAAAGGGGCAGACGACAGACCGAGCGACCGAGGGCCAGCCGAGGGCCGCGCGCGACCACAGCAACTCGACGGACAACCGACGGACCGCCGAAAAACAAACAAAACCAGCCAGGAAGGCGCAGACGAGAGACCGAGCGACCGAGGGCCAGCCGAGGGCCAGGCGCGACCACAGCATCCGACGGACAACCGACTGACAGCCGAAAAAGAACCAAAACCAACAAAGGAAGGGCAGACGAGAAACCGAGCGACCAGCGGCCAGCCGAGGGCCGCGCGCGACCACAGCAACCGACGGACAACCGACGGACAACCGTCGGACAACCGACGGACAACAGAAAATTAACCAGAAGCAGCCAGGAAGGGGCAGACGAGACACCGAGCGACCGCGGGCCAGCCGAGGGCCAGGCGCGACCACAGCAACCGTCGGACAACCGACGGAAAACCCAAAAATAACCCAAACCAGCCAGGAGGGGGCAGACGACAGACCGAGCGACCGAGGGCCAGCCGAGGGCCGCGCACGACCACAGCAACCGACGGACAACCGACGGACAGCCGAAAAAGAACCAAAACCAACAAAGGAGGGGCAGACGAGAAACCGAGCGACCAGCGGCCAGCCGAGGGCCAGGCGCGACCACAGCAACCGTCGGACAACCGACGGAAAACCGAAAAATAACCGAAGCCAGCCAGAAAGGGGCAGACCAGAGACCGAGCGACCGAGGGCCACAGCGACCGACGGACGACCGACGGACAGCCGAAAGATAACGACAGCCAGCCATGAGGGGGCAGACGAGAGACCGCGCGACCGAGGGTCAGCCGAGGGCCAGGCGCGACCACAGCAACCGACGGACAACCGACGGACAACCGAGAAATAACCCAAACCAGCCAGACAAGGGGCAGACGAGAGACCGAGCGACCAAGGGCCAGCCGAGGGCAAGTCGCGACCGCGGACCATAGCAACCAGCGGACAACCGACGGACAACCGAAAAACAAACAAAACCAGCCAGGAAGGGGCAGACGAGAGACCGAGCGACCGAGGGCCAGCCGAGGGCCAGTCGCGACCACAGCAACCAACGGACAACCGACGGACAAACGAAAAGTAACCAACACCAGCCAGCAAGGGGCAGACGTGAAAGGGAGCGACGGAGGGCCAGCCGCGACCAGGGCAACCCACGGACAACCGACGGACAACCGAAAAATAACCAAAACGAGAAAACGAACGGGCGAGGAGCGGTCGAAGGCCTGGCGCGACCGCAGCAATCGACGGACAACCGACGGACCGCCGAAAAACAACTAAAGCCAGCCAGAAAGGGGCAGACGACAGACCGAGCGACCGAGGGCCAGCCGAGGGCCAGGCGCGACCACAGCATCCGACGGACAACCGACGGACAGCCGAAAAAGAACCAAAACCAACAAAGGAGGGGCAGACGAGAAACCGAGCGACCAGCGGCCAGCCGAGGGCCGCGCGCGACCACGGCAACCGACGGACAACCGACGGACAACCGACGGACAACCGACGGACAACCGAAAAATAACCAGAAACAGCCAGGAAGGGGCAGACGAGAGACCGAGCGACCGCGGGCCAGCCGAAGGCCAGGCGCAACCACAACAACCGTCGGACAACCGACGGAAAACAGAAAAATAACCCAAACCAGCCAGAAAGGGGCAGACGACAGACCGAGCGACCGAGGGCCAGCCGAGGGCCGCGCGCGACCACAGCAACCAGCGGACAACCGACGGTCAACCGAAAACAACCAGAACCAGCCAGGACAGGGCAGACGAGAAACCGAGCGACCGAGGGCCAGCCGAGGGCCAGGCGCGACCACAGCAACCGACGGACAACCGAAAAATAAACCAGCCAGGAACGGGCATACGAGAGACCGAGCGACCGAGGGCCAGCCGAGGGCCGCGCGCGACCACAGCAACCGACGGACAACCGAAGGACAACCGAACAAGAGACCCAGCGACCGAAGGCCAGCCGAGGGCCAGGCGCGACCAGAGCAACCGACGGACATCCAACGGGCAACCGAAAAATGACGAAAACCAGCCAGGATGGGGCAGCAGAAGACCAATGCAACCGACGGGCAAGCGATAACAACCCAAACAACGAAAATCAACCTGGAAGGGGTAACCATAGTGTGTTGCGCGACCATGGGACAATACACCGAGCGCAGAAGAAGTTGCCAGCCCCTGAAATGCCCAAACACGCCGTGCCATAAGAAAGGGGCAGGGGTTAAAAAGAAACAACGATTTTCTTATTGACTGCACTGGGTGTATCAACAATCATCTGGGGAAGGGGCAGCCAAACCCAAGAAGTAGATTAGGGTTGCGCCGGCCCACCAAACACATACAAGAATATCAACGATTGAAATAGGAAGGCGCTTAAAGTAGATTGGGATGTGGGGAATCCACAAATACCTACTCTCAACGACCGGTGTGTAATCATCATCATCCTCCTCCTAGCAGTCACACGACTAATGATAATAATAATCACCATCATCATCATCCTAACACGATCATCGTCATCATCAGCATCATCATTATCATCATCGTCATCCTAACAGTGGTGATCATACTACTAATAAGAATAACAATAATAATAATAATAATGAGAAGCATCATCCGAATAAAAAAAATGATAATAATCACTGGCATCCTAATAACAGTACTAATAATAATCATCATCAGCATCCTCCTTCTCCTCCTCCCCCTCCTCCTCCTCATCATCATCATCATCGTCATCGTCGTCATCGTCGTCATCATCATCCTCATCATCATCATCATCATCATCACAACCACCATCATCATCAGAAACATCATCATCAACAGCATCAGCATTAGCATCGCCAGCATCATCAACATCATCAGCATCAGCATCAGCATCATCATTATCATCATCATCCTCATCATCAGCAACATCATCATCATTAGCAACAGAATCATCAGCATCATCAACACCATGATCCTCCTCCTCCTCATCCACATCATCATCCTACCCCCTCCTCATCAACACCCGCATCCTCATCCTCCTCCCTTCACGTCCTCGTCCTCCTCCTCCTCCTCCTCCTCCTCCTCCTCCTCATCATCATCATCATCATCATCATCATCATCAGCATCCTCCATACGCAGCCTCGCGGACGTCCTCGTCGTCGTCGTCGTCCTCCTCCTCCTTTAAACGCAGCCTCGCGGACACGAGTGCCCCCCGCGCGGGGGGCTTTCCTCCTCCTCCTCTCCTCTCCTCCTCCTCCTCCTCCTCCTCCTCCTCATCATCATCATCATCATCATCATCATCATCATCATCATCATCATCATCATCCTTCTCCTCGTCCTCGTCCTCCTCCTCCTCCTCCTCCTCATGCTCCTCCTCCTCCCCCATACCCATCCTCCTCCTCCTCCCTCCCTCCTCCTCCTCCTCCTCCTCCCGCTCCTCCTCCTCTCCTCCTCCTCCTCCTCCTCCTCCTCCTCCTCCTCCTCTCTTTCCTCGTCGTGCTCGTCCACATCCCTCTCCTCCTCCTCCTCCTCCTCCTCTTCCTCCTCCACCCTCCTCCTCCTCCTCCTCCTCCTCCTCCTCCTCCTCCTCCTCCGCCTCCTCCTCCTCCTCCTCCTCCTCCTCCTCCTCCCGCCCCCCCTGGGGGACCGGCTCAGGAGGAAAACGTCCACGTGGAATCGGCGACACATCGCAGAGAGTTCGGCGATGGGGCCTCGGATCTGCGAAGAATCCCCGGCATTCCTGGGCGGGGTGGGGGGCTTGGGCCCCGAGTGGCGACGCTTGGGCGATTGGGCGTTCATACTCCTCCCCCTGGGCTAGCCCCCTCCCCTGACATCCCAGAGCCCCTCGCGTCGCGAAAAAAAATCACGACGGGAAGTTTGTCATTATTTTCGGCCTCTGGGGGCCCTTGCCGGGCCTCGGGACCGTCAAAGAACGACTCAGGATGAAAAGCCGGTCCCGGGCGAAGGTCGAGACCTCTGGGGGTCGACGTTGTGGAAAAAATCCTGACGCCAGGAGTCTGGGGACATTGCCCATGAGAGCCGATCCCGGCGCTGCAGCCGGTGGCGTCCGGCTCCAGGCCTGCCTCCCGCATCTCCCCCAGCAGCGACAGGGCCTCCCTCCACTGGCCTGAGGGGCAACAATAGGGGGGGACTGGCATGGGGGGGATGCATCGACCTGGAATCGGCGATACGTCGCCGATAGATCGGCGATGGGCCTCCGATAGTGACTCCGCACCTTCCTCTGCAGCTTGGGGCTATCGGGCCCCTCTAGGCGATCAATGCGCGATTGGGGGTCGACGCATCCCCCCCTGTGCACACCTCACCCTATCGTTGCCCCCGATGGCCGCCCCTCTCGCAGGCGCCGACCCCAGCGCCGTAGACGGCGGCGTCGGGCTCCAGTTTCGCGCTCCGCAGCTCGCCCAGCAGCGACAGGGCATGCTGCCACTGCCCGCACTTCCTGCACGCGCTGATGCCAGCAAGGTAGACGATCAGCTCCGACATCACCACCATCCTCCTCCTCCTCCTCCTCCTCCTCCTCCTCATCATCATCATCATCATCATCACCATCAGCATTAGCATCATCATCATCATCACCATCAGCATCATCACCATCATCATCACCATCATCACCAGCATCCTCAGCATCACAATCACCATCACCATCAACATCAGCATCAGCATCAGCATCAGCATCATCATCATCATCATCATCATCATCATCATCATCATCATCATCATCATCATCATCATCATCATCATCATCATCATCATCGTCAACATCACCATCATCATCAACATCAGCATCATCATCATCATCATCATCATCATCATCATCATCATCATCGACGATCAGATCCGGCTGCAACGAGGTGCGGCACAGTTCACTCAGCAAAGACAGCGCATGCTGAAACTGGCTGCTCTCCTCACAAGCACTGATCGCAGCACTGTAGCTAATTACGTCGGGCACAAGCTGCCTTTCCCACAACTCACTCAGCAGCGACAAAGCCCTTTGCCACTGATGACCCTTTTCGCAAGCTGTGACTGCAGCGTTGTAGCTGACGACATCCACCTGCTGCTGAGATTGCCGAATAGAGCTCAGAAGCGACAGGGCATGTTCCCATTGCCAGCCTTTCTCGCACGCGCTAATGCCGGCGTTCCAGGCGATGGTGTCAGGCACCAGCTGCACTCCCTGCATATCACTCAGAAGAAGCAGAGCTTGCTGCCACAGCCCACCCTTCTCACAAGCACTGATTCCGGCGCTGTAGCTGATGACTCCCAGCCCAATGCGTGCCTCCCGAAACTCGTCCAATAAAGATAGCCCGTGTTGCCACTGGCCACCTTTCTCGCACGCGCTGATTCCAGCACTGCAGCTGGTATCGTCTGGGTCAAGCCTTGCTGCCCTGAGATCGACCAGCAATGATAACGCCTGCTGCCATTGCCCGACCCTTTCGCACGCGGTTATTGCAGCGTTATAGCTGATAACACTTTGTTCCAATCCTGATACCAACAACTCGCTCAGCAATGACAGTGCGCACTGCCACTGCTTGCCTTTCGCGCACGCGCTGATGCCAGCACTATAACATATCACATTGGATTCTAAGCGAGAGTGTAACAACTCGCCCAGCATCGACAATGCCCGTTGCCACTGCTGGCCTTTCTCACATGCGCTGATTCCCGCACCATAGCTGACGATGTCCAGTTTCAGCCGCGCGTGGCGCAACTGGACCATCAAAGACACTGCCCGCTGCCACTGCTCACACTTCTCGCAAGCACTGATGCAAGCATTGTAGCTGATGACGTCTGGCAACAAGCGCGACTCTTGCAAATCAGTCAGCAACGACAGAGCTTGCTGCCACCGTCCACCCTTCTCGCAGGCGCTGATTCCAGCGTTGTAGCTGATGGTGTCGGGCGTCATCTTCGACTCCCGAAGATCGCTCAACAAAGACAATGCCTGTTGCCACTGCCCGCTCTTTTCGCAAGCACTGACTCCAGAATTGAAACTAACGATGCCCAGCTCCACTTGCATTCCTCGCAGCTCGGCAAGCAAAGACATCGCCCGCGACCACTGTCCACATCTACCACACGCAGTGATCGCAGCATTGTAACTGATCGCGTCAGGCTCCATGAGCGACGCCCGCAAGTCGCTGAGCAGCAGCCAGGCATGTTGCCATTGCCCTCCGTTCGCGCACGCGCTGATCCCGGCGTTGTAGCTGACTAGGGCGAACCCGTGGACTTCGTCCACGATCAGCTGGTTTCCCTGGCGCGCCTCCACATTATGCCCCCGCCCGGGAAAAAGTCACCCCGAAGCCTTCGGTGACTCTTTCCGGCCGACGTTCCGAAGTTGGAAGGCGGGCGCTTCCTCCTCTTCGTCCGCCTTCCGCTCCACTCCACCTGGAGCGTCACAGACGGCTATATGGGTCTGCGGTGTGCCTCTCCCCGCTTGTCTGCTCCCCCTGGCTTGAACAATGTTGAAAATACCTGGGGCCTTGAAAAAAGTCACCCGGAGGGCTCTGGTGACTTTTTTTTCTGGTTGCCTTTTCGAAACCAGATAGCGAGCGCTGCCTTCTCCGTGGGGACTGTTTGGGGGCCTCTCGGGGGTTCTTTTCGGCTTCCTGGGGGCCTTTTGGGGCCCTCTTGGGCCGTCTTGCGGCCTCCTGGGGTCCTCTTGGGACTCTCTTGGGGCCGTCTTGGGACCATCTGGAGGCCCTCTTGGGCCATCTTTGGCCGCTCTTGGGGCTGTCTGGGCGCCACGGGAGCCGTCCTGGGGCCGTCTGGGGCCATCTTTTGAGAGCCCTTCGCTTTTGAGAGCCCCTGTGGAAGGGCTGGTCACGTCACCGCTCGCTCTTGGGAGCTGTGCTTGGGAGAGCTCTCTACGCTGCGGCTCGCTCTTCGGAGCCTTGGTGAGAAGAGCTTTGTACTTCACCGATCGCTCTTTCAATGGGCGTCTCTGGGCCTGCTTGCTGGTCCTTGTGGGTTTTTTTCGGGCCATTCTGAAGCAATTTGGGGCTGGTCTGGGAGCGTTTTGGGACGTCTTGGGGCCATTTTTGGCTGTCACGTGGCGTCCGGGAGGCCTTGCACCGTCATGGAGCTCTTCTGAGGCTGCCTGAGGCTGTCTTGGGAGCCTCTTGGGGCCCCCTCGGAGCTCTCTTGGGGCCGTCTTGGGGTTCTGTGAGGCCGTTTCATGGCTTTCTGGCGTCGTCTTGGGGCTCTTGTGAGCCGTCTTGGGGCCCTCTTAGGGGCCGCTGGCGTCTTCTTGGAGCGATGTGGGAGGCCTCTTGACGTGTCCTGGGCCGCTGAGGAGCACACAAGGCGGGCATGCTGAAAATATACGTTTTCCTAAAGGAATTTGACGATGTGTGCCTGTTTGGCGTGCGCTCGGGGCCCTCTTGGGGCGTCTTTGCGGCCTCTTGGATCGTCGTGGAGCCCCCCCGGAAGGCTTCAGGCCCTCGTGTGCCGTCTCGGGACCCACCGAGGCCGTCTTGGAGCGCACTTGGACGGTCTGGGAACCTCTCTGGAGCGCCTCTGGGACCGGCCTGAGCGATTCAGCCCCGTGGTGGCGCCGTAAAGGGGCGATTTTGTGCACTTGAGGCCCTGAGCTTCGTACGCGCTTCCACCGGCCATGTAGGAGAGACTAGGGTGGGCACATAGATACAATACTTAGGTTATATATAAATCATATCCCAAGAATCTTCAAAAAATGTCCCCCAAAAGCGTCTCCAGACTATGCTTTGTCTATTGGTTTGAATCTTCCCCCTGTGGAGGGACAGGCCCGACTTCATACAATACACGGAAGGCAATGAGTCCGTTGTTCGGGAGAGCTGCCGGCGGCAGAGGGGCGCGCAGGAGGAACGTTGAGGGTAGGGCGGCGTGCGATGAAAGCCTCGTTCTGGTCGACCCCCCGAGGGCATCGAACGCCATCATCGTCCGACTACGGTTTGCGTTCCCTGGCCTGTGCTTCTGGCCTGCGCCTGTCCTCCTGGTCCTCCTGTTCCTCCTCATCCTGCTCCTGGTGCGAGGGTCTCGAAAGCATCTCAGTAGTGTTTATGGTGCTGCTTGTTCATTCGCGGGGCTTCTCTGGAGCGTCGGGGCCTGTGTGGAGCCTGCTGGAAGGCTCGGGAGCACGCGAAGGGATTGTTGAGAGCAAGTGGGGAACTGTTTGGGCGGGTACAGTCGGACCTAGGACAAAAATTAGCCTGGCGAAGGACCAACCATATGCAGCTGCGAATACCGCACGGATATGAGACGAAGGAGGGGGCACGCAAACTAGGCCCATCTTCTCATAGGCACCGCGCCACTGGGGCCTTCGGTGGAGCTCCCTATGGGGCCACGAAACGTGTGAAGGGTGTGCCGAAATGGGTGGTGGGGAGGCATGCGGACCCTGCCACTGGGGCCTTCGGTGGAGCTCCCTATGGGGCCACGAAACGTGTGAGGGGTGTGCCGAAATGGGTGGTGGGGAGGCATGCGAACGCAGCCACTGGGGCCTTCGGTGGAGCTCCCTATGGGGCCACGAAACGTGTGAGGGGTGTGCCGAAATGGGTGGTGGGGAGCCACTGGGGCCTTCGGTGGAGCTCCCTATGGGGCCACGAAACGTATGAGGGGTGTGCCGAAATGGGTGGTGGGGACGCATGCGAACGCAACCACTGGGGCCCCTTCGGTGGAGCTCCCTATGGGGCCACGAAACGTGTGAGGGGTGGGCCGAAATGGGCGAGGGGCGGCATGCCAACTCTGCCACTGGGGCCTTCGGTGGAGCTCA